CAAGATGTCGTTCATTGGTCGTTACGTTTCGATTCTACTCATATCAACGTTCGTTCAAGTGATACGTGAATACTCATTTTGGTAAGGACTTCGATCGAACGACTACGTAACTTCAACGATGTTTTGATAGCTTGAACTTACGTGAATCGCACTCAGAACTCTTCGATATCTTAACCGAATCGTTCGGTTGGACATCGTTCTCGAATCGAAGGGCGCTTTCCGAGCTATTCAAAACATTCGAGTTATAGGTTCGATTCGGAGTTGGATACGATATCGTTATCCAGCAACGTTTACGGAGTTAGTCGGCGAACATAGATTATAAGAAGAATGACATCCTTTTATATACATTTTTAATGCTTTAAACGCCTAAAATATAGGAACGCATTAGTCTCGCATTAAAATAAATTAATAAAGTTGAACAAAATCCAGATTTTATATAAAATAATAAAAGATTTCCATATTTTTTTTTTTATGGAAAGTGACGATGAGGTCGACGATGGAGCATGCTCACTTAAATAATGCCTATTCACTCTCGCCTTGAAAAGACCCAAGTTATAACGTTCAGGGAACAAGTCTGCAGGTAGGGAATTCCACTCCATAACCGTTCGCCATATAAATGTGGAAGCGTAACGCTTCGTGCGAATCTTTGGTATATCCACAACATAGGGGTGGAACCCAAGCCTACGCCTAGTCCCCCGGTGGTGGAAAGGGGAAGGCGGAATTAAATCGTGTAATTCCATCGCACACTCCGTGATATATCCTGTAAAATACCGATAAGCAGGCAACTTTACGGCGGTGTTCAAGGCTCTGCAGCGTCGCCTCCACTAATTCCGAGTCACCTATAAGCCACTTGACACGGTTGTCAATTGAATCCGAAGTGGCCAGTTGATATGTAGCAGAACCATCCCAAAGGTGGAAGCAGTACTCTATGCATGGTCGGACTTGTGCTTGGTACAGCTGAAGCAACTGTCCCGGCGTAAAGTAACGCCTCACCCTGTAAAGGATCCCAAGCTTGCTTGCTGCATTTTTGGCCATGGATTCAATGTATCTGCCGAAGTTCAAATTGGACGACAGGTCCATTCCAAGTAGCTCGAGACACTCGGCTATCGGTATGGATATATCACGAAAAGTCGGAGTCAGCTCAAAAGGACTCCCGTTTTGTGGAGAATAGACACGCCTGTGTTTTGGTAGCGTTAAATTTGACAAGATTGGCATTGCCCCAATCGGAGACTGCCTGGAGTGTCAAACTAAACGGCTAACCATGGACTCTCGATAAGACTGGATTCTCTCCACTGACTCTTGCATTGGGCAAGTACCTATCTACAACTGTGCTGTCATCAGCATGCGCAAAGGTACCTGGAATTAACATATTGTTGATATGCAGCAGAAAGAGAGTTGCAGACAGTACGGAACCTTGAGGAACTCCGGTTCCGGCTCCGGGAAAATCTATCGCCATGTGTTCGGAAGAGTAGCCTTGACATCATCACAGCCAAGACCACTCGAAGCGAACGCTCGCTCAAGAAATCCGAGATCTAATTGCAAAGGTCAGTGGGAAGTCCATAACATGGAAGCTTACTGCGTGCCCAGACCCTGTCAAAGGCTTTAGAAATATCCAAACACTGCAGTTGCTTCGCCTTGCTTTTCTGTAGCCTCGCTCCATATGTGACAGCCATATACAAGAAGATCCTCAGTAGATCCCCCTCGTCTGAAGCCGTACAGGCGATCACTGCAGAGGTCGTTGTCTTCAAGGTACGATAGGAGACGGTTGTTGAGTACACGTTCCATAGTCTTGCACAGTATGGAAGTGACTGAGATAGGTCTATAGTTGACGGGGTCAGCTCTACTTCCCTTTTTTGGCACAGGTTGCACGTTTGCAAGCTTCCACGACCTGGGAACTACACCAGTCTCAAGTGAGAGGCGGTACAGGCGTGTGAGCACAGGAGACAACTCAGGCGCACAGTTACGCAAGACTATTGCTGGAATTCCATTTGATCCGCTAGCTTTATTCACGTCTAGATTTCGCATAGTTCTAAGTACCTCTTTTTGGCGTATGAGAACTGGCGCCATAGGCCAGCCTGAGGTAAAGTAAGTGGTAGGTTCCCTGCGGCATTTAGACGTGAACTCTCTGCAAAGAGTGAGGCAAAGGGATTCGCCTTCTCTTCCGCAGTATGAGCCAGCGAGCCATCCGGCCTCAGCAGAGGTGGCAAAGATGGGCGACAAAAGTTAGATTCGACCGCTTTGGCCAGGGATCAAAAGGATTTGCTGCCTGCTGGATAAGCGGCAAGCTTGACCACTATGCGGCGCACATGGTCGAACTTGGCCCTACGTAACACGCTTTTGCACTTCTTGGCGGCCTTATTAAAAGCTTTCTTCAAATTCTGAGTACTCGGAGCTTTGCGTAGTGGAGCATTTGGCCAAGCTTGGTACGTGGACTGTTTATGTGCTTCAGCACAACCACAATCAGCGTTAAACCATGGACGACCTTGGGGTCCATTGGGTACATCAGAGTATGGTATGTAATACTCCATAACGCAAGACCTCGCCTACAGCATCAGCACAGCTCGACGAGTCTCCTGAAGTAAAGCAGGGCTGCCACAGATATGACGCAAAGAAATGGCGCATTTCACCCAATCTGCTAACTTAAATCGCCACACCCGTCTCATACTACTAGGGCCCTGGTCGGGTGAGGAGTATACGGATACAGTTTTCACCAGACAGTGGTCGGAAGTACCCAGTGCAGTACATCCATAACCACGGAGTGTCGGTCCGGATCATTTGTCAGCAGAAGGTCCAAGCAATTAGCCGTATGAGATTCAATATCTGGTATCCTAGTGACGCCACTGACAAGCTGGGACAGGCTTAGCGTTAACGCAAGTTTACGCGTCTCTCTCCCAGCGTGATCGGTCTTCTGGTATGGGAACAACCATTCTTGATGATGTGCATTAAAGTCCGCCAGAATGACTAGTTGCGCCGCTGGGTACCTTTGCTAAATCTCATCAGACGTCTCACTCAGATATTGGAACAGCTTGGTCGTCTCCTGATCTCCACTGATTTTTTACATTCTTGCTTTATAAACAATAGGATGTTCGATAACTTTCGTTCGATAACTGTGTTCTGAATAACAGTTTGACGTTCGATTCAGTTATCGTAAAGAAAAATAACACCTACTAGTGGAATCTCCGTTGAGTTTTGTTCAAATTTTAATTATATTATTACAAAATGTTTATTGCTTTTCTGATCTAGAAGATGAACATTTGCCTTTCTATTGAATCGGTTCGCGTGAAAATCGCATTTAAATAATTCGATACAAAAAATCGTTAGGTCGTATGCACTTGAATCCTATATCGTAAAAATCGAATCGTAATCTAAAAACATCCTTACTGAGAATCCACAGGAGTGCACGGTGAGTATTGTATAGAGTTGCCTCTTTTTCGTCTAAAAAAGATTTTTTACATCGAAATTTGTAAAAGTCTAAAATTATTCCGTTTTCTATTTTCGCCGTTTCTGTTCACGATTTTGGGCAGAAATGGATTAAAACCCACCGCTTTGGGTAAAAAAAGACCCGGGCGGGAGTATTGGGTCTTAACCTACTGCCCATAGCTGTATACAAGTCAATGCGACGCCAAAATTGTAGTGTCGCGTGTCGGCGTGACAAGCGTCAACTTATTATAATACCGCCTTATGTGTCACACACGCACACTTCTACTCTTGAGAGCAACTAAACTGAACCATTTAAAGCCTACAGTGATTTGTTATATTGGTATAGTTTTTCTTGGCACATTAAATGAATCCATGAAGGTTTTATTTCCATGAAATGTTAGTGTTAAAAATAGATTTGTACTTGATGTGTGATATGTTTCGTATAGTGTACAAGATAGATATTGTCAATATAATGTAGATAAAAGACATGAAATATTTGATTGATAAGTTGATAACCGTTTGTATTTTTCCTGTTACTCGGTTGTCCGACCACGTTGATATACTGGTCTACAGAGATGTCTAAACAATTCCCTTAGATTTAAGACCTAAGGTCATGGTATAGTAAACGCTATGCTGTCCTCTGCAAACCTTTCTTTGAGCTCCTTGATTGGCGTTATTTTTCTCCTGATTTGGTCAAGTAACTCTAGGTCGTCATCTCTCCACGCCCTCCTTCCACTTTTCTTTCGTTCAGGTTTTTAAAGATGTCACAATTGACCACCATACTTCCAGTTCGGTTTTCAACTATTTTCAAGATATTTCTGCTTTCTTTCTCTCTAGTTAGCATCTCCCCTTTGTTGGAAATGGAATCATTTTTTCAGTCACGTTTGACCACGGAAGAAAATAAAACAATGGAAGGGCCTTAAGCCACGATTACCTACTATCAGAACTGCTGTCGCCAAAACTCACGCTATCGTAATGTTAAACACTGAAATCTTGATGGTGATTGGTCGTAGTTTCTAATTTAAAAAGATGTAGTAACAAATCCTGGACTCTTATATAATTTAAACTTTACTCAATTGGCATACCTATCTATTTAAGTAAAAATTTTATATTGAAATTTCATTCAATGAACTGCCATCTAGCGGCAATAGCTGAAAGACGACGAACGATTAACGCCCATTAACGTTCTCAAAAAAATGTCGACCATTATTGCAGCGGTATAAGATTTACTTTCGTTTTTTATAACAAAAATCTATTACGATAAACAGAAAATGCAAAATTTTATAAAATACTAGTTAGCAAGGGCCGACCAAGACGAACTTGACCAAGACCAAATTGAGAACTCTCTAAAGAAAGGTCAGGTCAAAAGTACCCTTAACAGAAACCACTGATGCGTGTTGATGATGCGAGAGATGTGTGTCAGGACCATAGCAAGTAGAAGGCTGTTGTCTCTATCCACCCCGATGGCGAAGGAACGTGAAATATATGTATTAAGACTATTTAGCCCGCTATCTCGAATGTCGATATACGTTTTTCATGAACAGTAATAACTAACACATATCCATCTCTGTCTTTCACAGCGAGCAATCCATAAGCAGTGCCCGCGCATCGGTGATGGTCTACGACGACGGCCTGAAGCGATGGGTGCCTTCCGGCTCCAGCTCCGGCCTGTCCAAGGTCCACATATACCATCACACACAGCATAACACCTTCAGGGTTGTTGGCAGAAAACTTAATGATCACGAGGTTGGTAAACAATGATTCATCGCTCTTGTACAGATTATGAATTATCTCGTCTTTAACTGTGAAGGAAAAGACGATGAGTCTAGCATGTTTGAGAACTTTCATAAAACTCTTCAAAGACATGTGAGATCTTCAACCCGCATTGGACCACTGGCGACCAGGAGTATAGCATAAGTTAACACTCTGTTTTTTTTTAAATGCGCATATTTAATCTAATCGCCTTACTACCTTACCTTTAGTAGATTAGAGCTCTTCGTAAAAGAGTTCGTTCAGGAAAGTTCGCCTAAGATCTTTGCAATTAAAAGCTATGCCCCTAAAATCTTAGCGATTTAAAGCTCTGAGTGTCACTGCAACTGTTGTGGACAGGCGTGTCGCTCACCAACAGGCCCACGACTTATTCGTCGCTCGGTATCGTTAAAAAACACCTCCATCTCAACTGATGAAAAAAGGGAAAAAGAAACTTATGCTTAGCTTTTTCATACTATTGCATCGACTTCAACTCACACAGGCTCACAAATGCCCAGCTTTTAAATTAAAATTGAATCATTTAAATTAAATGGATACCTACAAGTTTCGTTTGCTCTTTAAAAAACATCGTTTCGCCCACCTTAAGTGCATCGATCTGAGTCAACGCTGCAATATCCGCGTAAATATTTAAAAGCTCGTAAAATCGCATGCACTTGTGCTATCAACCGTCAAGGCCACGTGACTCGACATTCTTGTGACGTCATATTGCAGACGTCACGAAGTTTAATTAAATGTTTCACATTCTTGAACGAGAGTTCCGAGTATTACAACATGATAATATATGACTCAGGTTGTCAGAAGCAAGATTTTGTTTTATCAGGACATGTATATAAATAATATAGATTTAGATATGATTTAGATACATACATATCGCACTGCTATTACAGTGGTGTTGTAACTCAAAATTCGTGAAATTCTAGATTATGCCATTGCTTAATGTAAAATTTGATCCTCTACACTCAATCAATAAAACCGTCGTTAGAACATTGTAAGAAACATTAAAAGATATCTACTTAACTCAAAATGAGACAAGCCTTATGTGACTAGCTTACAAAACAGTCCTTACTCAAAAATATGAAATTATTTTTTCCCTTTTATTGTTAAATACATAAGGCAAGTAGAAAACTGTTAAGATGCCTGTAATAAATTTAACCTACAATTATTTAAATTTTAATGATCTTTCCCGGGAAATGAGTAATTCCATTTTCATCGATTCTGAAGAAATACACTTTTTAAGTTAATACATACGACACACTATAAGTTTCCAGAACTGGCCACTTACATAAACAATATTTAATAGTAATTACAAAATTTGAAAATGGAACTCTTTGGCTGTAGAGTACAGTTGTTTCATCTGACTGTCACTTGTTTTGACATTGTGGCGTCATTTTAGTAATTGGTTGTCCACATCGCCATGGGTTTATTTCGTGAAAATTTTCGTAGTATGATTTTCTACGACTTTAGTGTAATTTAACAGCTCAGCGGAGCTTCGCTCGGCTTCAAACTGCTTTTGGCGATGAAGCGCCATGCAAGACGACTATTTATAACTGGTTTGCAGAATTCAAACGCGGTCGTGTGATTCTCAGTGACGAATTTCGTGATGGTGGCCCGACCACTGCTGTGAACAACAAAAACATCGATCCTGTGCGCCGTATGATCAAAACAGACAGGCATGTGACATACCATGAGATTTGGGCATCTGTAGGCATAGGCATGAGTCAAATACAATCAATACTACACAAACATTTGGGTGTGAAAATGCTGTGCTCTCGGTGGATCCCACACAATTTGACTGAGGCTCAAAAACCGGATCGCGTCACTTGGTGCAATGCCATGCTTACCTGATTCATTTTCTGGAAGTTATTGACAAACTCCGTAAAAATAACCGTAAACGCCGGTTAATCTTGCACCACGATAATGCCAGTTCTCACACGGCCAGACAGACAAATGAATTTTTGAAGGTGAACAACGTTGACCTTATGAGGCATCCCGCGTACAGTCCCGACTTGGCCCTTGTGAATTTTATTTATTTCCAAAAATTAAGCACCAGTTACGCGGTCAACGATTTTCATCACCTGAAGAGGCTGTCGAAGAGTTTGAAAAATATGTTTCAGAGATTGTCATGGAGGAGTGGCATAAATGTTTTCAAAATTGGTTCATTCGTATGAAAAGTGCATTAACGCTAACGGAGAATATTTTGAGAAACAATAAATTCATTTCTGACCATTTATAGTATTTTTTTCTTATTCATTCCGGAAACATAAAGCGTTAACAGTGCTATGTCACATTTCCTACGGGGTAGAAAGAGAAAGATGTTATTTAGTAGCAATAGAGGTCCTTGTAAAAGAGTTCATCCAGAGAAGTATTACCACCTTTCTGCCGCCAAGCAGTAATGTCAGCATTATTGTGTTTTGGTTATGCATCGAGTGCTACGTAAAAGCACATTGGCAATGTAAAAAATGCCTCCAAACGTTGTGCATCGAAAAAGGATGTTTCGAAAAATACCACACATAAGCCCATTGGCCTCATTTGAGGATGGTATTTTTTTTCCAAGTATAATAAATATTGTTTTTAGTTTTTTGTTATAAAATATCTTGCTAGCCTCCAGTAGTTACGTTAATAAAGTTTTTTTCAAAATTTTCTTACTAGTTTGTATTTGGGTCCAAATGGGTTCATAATTACAACAAACTAGTGGAGTAACTTCATAAAAAATAATTGAATATCCATTCAATAAAAATTTAATATACAGCGAATAGCGAGATCTCTCGCCAGGACTGGTAGCTGTAAAGGTACTAACTGGGTGATAAATCTTTCATAGATTTCTCAAAGATGGCGCTACGACTAAAAGTCGTTGAAAAACCAAATACAAAGACACGACGCAAGCACATAGAAAAATTCGTGAGGTCCGCTGGTTCGTTCCGTGGCTTAGTTGGTATAGCGTCTGACACGGTAAGCTAGAAGACGTCGATTCGTATCAGGCCGGATCGAAGGAATTTTTTCTGAGTGTTCGATCAAAGCTAATAATTATAACAAAGTAGTGGAGTAATTTCACAAAAAAATTAATATCAATTCAATAAAAATTTACTTACTTGAAGTTTACTTAATATACATACATATTCCTATTATTCATATTATATCTATATTAATTAGGGAACAGTCTGTATTCAATCAGCAGCGTGCAGACGTGATTATTGTGTACAAACTATTTTGCCGTTGCCATGCCGTTCAACGGCATGGCAACGTTCACCTCGTAAGCGTGTAAAAATATTTAAAACGTGTTTATATATAAAATGTTACGGCTGTTACGCGAGTTTGAACATTGTTAGAAGGATTTAATTAGTGTTAGAATTAGAGTGGAACTTTTTAATCAATCTTAGATTGAACGATAATTCTGTTATGACTTAAAAGTGTGTAGGTGAAAATATATGAGAAATAATCGTAAAATCGCACACCTCATGGAAGAATGGTATAAGTGAAATTACGTCAAAAATGTTTATTGCACCATTAGATACAGAAAAATATAACCCACATCCTGTCCAGTTCTTGTAACTCTATCGACAATACTAGACAAGCAGCAGTAGAGCTCGTTGTGAAAGAGTTCGTCCTGGGAAGTACTGCCACCTTACCTATCTGCGTTCCGGTTTTGAAGAGTAAGGCTGCTGGTAAAATTACAGGCACATGGAACTTGTCACCTTGTCTCAGGGTGACGGACGCAGCGGCAGTGCTCAGATTTTTGCGATTTAAAGCTTCGAGTGGCACTACAACTGTTATGGACAGGCGTGTAGCTTACCATCAGGCACACACGATACGTTCGTCCCTTCACTTGATATTATTTAAAAAAATACAGAAAAATATAACCCACATCATCCTTGTAATATTGTCGACAATTTGCTGTTGTAAAAATTATATTTTATAATTTTGAATTGTGAATAAAATAAAAACACTATCGACTAATATTGTCGATAGAGTTACAAGAATTAGAGAGGATGTGGGTTATATTTTTCTGTATCTAATGGAGCAATAAACATTTTTTAACGTAACTTCACTTATGCCATTTTTCCATGAGGGATATGAAAATTTTCAACAAAATTATCCAAGGATGTGACATGTGGCGCTGTTACGCGCACACCTTACATCTAGACCGGGGTTTCAACCTGTGGTCTATGGACACCTTAGGGGTACGTGTAATTCACACCGGGAGTCCATGGCGAGTCTACCTAATTTCATGCATTAATATATAACTTTTTATAATCAAATCAAATCATTTATTTGCATGTCACAGTTACAGTACATTTTTAAATACAATTTATGGTGTTATGTCATTGTATAGGATCATGTGACGCCCTGTAAGGGCATGGCAAATTACAGAGGGGCATTTATAAATTATACTAAAAAATTAAAAAAAAACGACCTCAAAAGTTAGTGGAATTACATATTTGCCTAGTTTTATTGAAATCGGTTACCGGAAGTGCGCGAAACCGGAATCATCCCCAATTTGCCACCCTTAGAGGTAGATTTTTTCTTAAAATTTAAATTAGACCAATACTGAGGTACCCTTTTTCCAACAAAAAAGAATCATGAAAATAGTTTCTGCTGAATGCTGGAGTTATCGCGTAAGACACGTACGAAAAAAATACAGTCGAAATGGGAACCTCCCCCTTTTTTGAAGTCGGCTAAAAATAATTTTTAACCGTTTACTAATGTAAACGATATGTTTGAGTAAATAGGCACTGTGAGCGTGACCTTTCTGAACTTTCTTGCCCTTTGATGGTCATTCATTATTGGAGCGAGCGAGACGCCCGTCAATGCAACTCGCGAGCCTTTCTTCTTCGTCATCTTTTTGAAAAGGGTCCTTGTGCTCTTTGAAATTTTGAAAGGGGTCCATGGCTAGAAAAAGGTTAAGAAATCATGATCTAGACGTGTGGTAGTGAACCAGCCAATGCTTAGAAAAGTGCGATGCACTGACCAAGTGTTTTTTTTGTGACGTCTTTGGTAGCTTAACTTGATGATAGGATTAGTTTGGGAAATTAACTTTTCTTGTAATAAATTGGTTCTGGTCTGAGTGTCCCGTGTAGTGCCCCGGAGATTTCATTGCTCTGGCACTCATGGTACAGGGACATCCCTAGTTTGATACCTCGTAATTAGTGTGAATGGGCATTTTTTTTTACGCACCCACTCAACGTAGCTAGGGAAACCCTGTGCCGCGGGTGTCATGGACACACATAGACAACCATAAATTACACCCAAACTCACGAGAGTAATAAATGTAGGCCTTACAAATATTTCTCCCGGCTCGGGAATCGAACCTGGATCCTCTGCGTGGCATGGTAACCGTTCGGCGACGGAGGCAGTTAAATTTAGGTGGCATGCATTAACGTCAGTTTCAATCTGGTGAGATCGAAGGCAAATGCGCACTTGTTTTTTAATATTTTTTAATACAAATAAATAAATATGATAATATTTTAATGTAAATTAAAAAAATCGAAAGAAAATCTAATTCAAATAAAAAAAAAGTGTGGGTCGCCGACTCAGACATAGGGGCTGCGATCACTGTTCTGGGTCGTGATTGGTTCAGCAATTGTAAATTGCCGTCCAGGCAGGCAGTGTTTCCAATATAATGGGAACTTTTGAGCCGGACATAAGGCTATAAGGCGGGATTTTTTTTTGAGTTAGATTAGTTTTTTAGGTTAAAAATCTCTTGCAAATCCCATTTTTATTTTATTTTAGTACCTATTGACGAAACCCAGTGCAGTCCTGATCCTTAACTAGTAATATACGATAGTATTATACGACTAATTAAATTTCATTGTTACTAACATAGAATAAGAAAATTGTCACTAAAAAAATATGAACATTAGCTTGAAATAAAAGTTTATTATTACCTATTAATATTATATACGAAAGTATATTGTCAAGTTAAAAAAGAACAACTGAGTGATTCTGACTGAGACAGTTCAACAAATATGTAAGGATCGCGATAATTAGTCGTTTTTATCTGTCGTAACAATTGACATAACATTTCCAGGTGGTGATAAACTGTGGCATAGTTCGCGGTCTCAAGTACAACCAAGCGACCCCCACGTTCCACCAATGGCGCGATGCGAGACACGTATACGGGCTCAACTTTTCGTGTCGCGAAGACGCCGACAGCTTTGCGCGCGCCATGATGCATTCACTCGAGGTAAGCTATGGTTTTTTGTTTAGTTTCAAGTGTTAACAGGCGACTGCAAAGCTCTGTCAGTGGCAACATCTTACATGTTCTTGCTGCAAAGCAATACTGACTACTGTAGTATGGTTAGAGTGAACCAGTATAATCATCAAGCACTTGTTCGGACGCGGCAACACAATATTTTCTTTTTTAAATAAATAACGTACATTATCATAGCCCTGCACTAAGGAAAAACCCTGTGTCGCGGGTGCCACAGACACAGACAACCATAAATTACACCCAAACTCACGAGAGAAATAAATGTAAGCCATACAAATAATTCTCTCAGCTCGGGAATCGAACCGTTCTGCTACAGAGGCAGATAGAAATGTAACTATTCTTTCCTATCTATTTAATTAAAAATAAAATATTTATATGAATTTTGTAAATGTAGTTCGAGTTAGGGTTTGCATTAATATTGGACATAAATAGCTGATGATTTTAGCCGGTTAATCTGACGTGAACATGGGATCTGGGGGTCTATTCTCGTTCTCCGTCCAACATTCATCCATAACAATTACTGTCAAAGAAGTAATGCCCGACCCAATTAAAATACGTGTGTCGTGTGAAGATGCGTGTTTTAATTTTGCCGAGTATTACTTATTTGACAGTAATTGTTTCGGATGATTGCGAGACGGAGAACAAGAGTACAGGGCCTGTAAAGAGCCCGCAACCATAAGATAAATATGGTAACTCCATACAAACGTAGCAGTGTGACTTGTATGTAGGCGCGCCCTTCGCCGCGTGTCATGTACGAACGCACACATTCGCCAATCTCTTTCGTCGCATAACACTGGTCGTTCCGCTTTTCATTATTTATGCGAATGTGTGCGTCCGTGCACGGCGCGCGACAGCCGCGCACACACACAAGATGCGCTGTCACTTTGTACGCAGTTACCATAATTCTCTTATTTTACGTCACGTTTGTTTGAAAAAAGAAAAAACTTCCCGATTTAGGTCCGAAAAAACAGTTTCATTTCCAATGTTTATATATTTTTTTCACATATTGCAGATACTAGCGAACAAGATAGCAGGCAATTCCCCTGCGCCAGCCGCGGCGCCCAATCCCCCCGCGCCCTTCAATGGACACAACAACGTGCATTACGACGAAGATATGGGGTACAGGTACATAGTTGAAAAAGTAGCTTTTGCCGCGACGTCTTCCTAAGTATTACTTTCAATGCAAAGAAAGCTCAAGGCTTATTAACAATGGTCGGAATAGATGGGAGTTAATTTATCTAAACTAAAGAATAATGTGGACATTCCCTTCTACAAATCCCGGGACTTCGCATAGCTGATTATGTCTGAGTGTGCGTATTATTTATTGAAATTTGGAATACATTGGCGACAAATTATTATTTCCTATTGAGTATTTGCTAGAAAATATTGTCTCAAAAAGTAATATTGTAGTTGTGTTTCTATTTGTAGTTACGTATTTAAATTTAGTAGCAGTAGAGCCCCTTGTGAAAGAGTTCGTCCAGGGTAGTACTGCCTCCTTACCTATTTCTGTCGCCAAGCAGTAACGTCAGCATTACTGTGTTCCGGTTTTGAAGTGTAAGGGTGCCGGTGGTATAACACGCACGTCAACTTATATCACAGGGTGAACGGGCGCAGTGGTAGTGCCACTTAAATCTTTGCAATTTATACTTATATTACCATCAGGCGCACGACTTGTTCATCCCGTCATTTGGTGTTATAAAAAAAATACTTTAGCCTTTTATTTAAAAAATAAAGATGAGACAACCTATATTTTTTACCAGTAAAAAAAAGAAAGTTTATACACATTGATAACGAAGTGGGTGTCTCTACTAAGAAAACGTTCGTATTTTATGTAAATTAACTCAATTCCGATCACTGCTTATTAATGAACACGTCAAAGTCAAAGTATTTATTGCTTTCATGTGTTACAAAGTGCACTTAAAACTAAATGACTTTTTTATAAAAAAGAAATTGACCTCCAAAGTTCGTAGAATCACATCAATTTGCTGAGTTTTATTGAAATCTGTTACCGGAAATTGCGCAAAACCGGATTCGCCCCTAGTTGGCCACCCTTACAGATGGAATATTTTTGTCAAATTTAAATCAGACCAATACTGAAGTGGGTACTTAGTTTACTTTTGTTGGAAAGAGGGTTCTTTAAATCAGAAAAAAAATCATCAAATCGATTCATAAATTAATACAGTCGTATTGCGAATTTTCTCCTTTTTTAAGTCGGTTAAATATCAACATGACCCTGTTATGGCGGCGCAATTTAAACATATGTACTTCGGAAGACGTATAGACGTATAGGTCTTTGGCATAAAGTATTTTGCTTCCATGTTCATTAAAGGTCAACTTACTAAGTAAAAAATAGAGCATGCTTTTTACTATACAGTCGAATGTAGAGTTCTTATTTTAGTCTTTGTTTTTTTTTACAATCGGCCGTGACGAAAAGGTTTCTAAGTAGTGGCCTTGTAATCAGTTATTTGTTCGACTGCACCAGATCTACGAGAATTATGTGTTGTTTACAGGATTATTTTTTTAAACCCAACCTCTTATTAAGCACGTAATTAAAACAAACTTATTGTATGAATTTCGACATTTTTTCTCTTTTTTTATTTCACGTCCTGCAACATGCCCATACTATTCATCGACCTTGCATTTTAAATATTCTGCAGTTGTTTTTAAACCTAATGAATTAGATGATTTTGAGATAGGCCGCTATTCTTGAAAGCCGTCGATGTAATAAATTTTGTTTAACAACTTCAATGCTTTACCAGAACGATGACACGCGAAGACGCAGCGATGTTGCAACCCCAATATCATGCGCCGCAGAACCACCACCACCAGCAGCAATACCACGCACAACCCTCGCAGTATCATGCTCCGCATCAGCACCATCAGGTAAAAGAAGAGGATGTATTTTTATCCCATTTAATACAAAGTAAAAGAGTGAGTTGGTATGGTTTTTTGTGCAGAATTAGCTTATTTCTATATAATTATTATTTTTTTCTATATGTAAGAGTAAAATTTGAAGTACTCATTTAATTCTTTTTTTCGTTTTTTCTGCCACGATATTTACATATTTTTTGAAAACATTAGTTAAAATTATTATTTATCAATCTCGACGACCTCGGTGACCCAATGGTTTGCACTGTGAAATGACCTTTTCTAAATTAGTTCTGATTTGTGTGTTCTGGATAGTGCCCCAGAGTGAATTCCGCTGTTCTGGCACTAATATCCATAGTACATAGTATGTCCTTGTTGAGACCAGTCAATTGGTGTGGTGCTTATTTACTTACATGTATGATTAACACGATAGGGAGCGACTTGCGCGAAAGCGACATAGATGCACGAGGGTGAGGTATTTCATAGGACAAGGAACAATGAGTCACGCAGTAACAACAACGGCCTACAATTGAATAATTGTACAAAACTCCCGCCACCCTCATTTACAGAAATTTAAGTAAAAAATAAATAACGCACAAAACTCACAGCCCCTCACTAGGGAAACCCTGTATCGCGAGTGCCATGGACTCACAAAGAGATAACCACAAATTACACCCAAACTCACGAGAGAAATAATTGTAGGTCATACAAATATTTCTCCCGAAACTGATACCTCTGCGTGGCAAACTAGCATGGTAACCGTTCAGCCACGGAGGCAGTTAGGCAGAGGAATATGTGTACAATAGTCATTATATCTACCTACACCATCGAGTATATAATCAGAAATAGAGACGAAATAAGAGTATATACATTCCTTCATCATTTATAAATATCAAATCTCGTTTGCACTGAAATATAGACAGCCGCCAACAACTGACCTGTGTGTACGTCTCCGTATATTCCAAAAATGTTCTGTATTTATTGTAATAAAGATAATATCTCTAACAATGGGGTGCTGTTCCATTCGGTGGTGTGGGGAAAAACAGCAAAACATCTAATTGCAAAACAAACGGAATCAAATTTCATCGGTAATTAAATATTAAATATGTAATTTTTCAATTTTCGTCAACACCAAAGCTAAAGCTAAACTAGTCTTTTGAAGTGAGACAATTGACTACACCCGTCAATTGTTTCGAATTCGAGCTGGCCAATCGGAGCGCAGTTGTCACCGTAATGATTTGGCAGAATAGTTTTCAAACAAATTAAATGACATTTCGTCTCTATTTCTGGTTATATATTCGATGACCTACACTACAGGGAGTACAGCAGTATCTCGCGCTTTATGTCGCGTCTTGCTACAGCGCTAGTTTATCACACCTTATTATTTTTGTTATTTAACTATATGGCATATCATATCGTAATAACCCCGTTTGTCGTGTTCCGCAGCAGCCGGCACCGCCCGCGCCGCCGCCACACGGCGTAGCCCACGGCCACGCGCACACGCACACGCTGCCGCACCAGAACTCCGCGCCCACGCCCACGCACCACCGAACCAACAGGTCAGGGGACAGATATGCTCTAGGGTCCATTCATTTCATATGGGCGTTTGGGGTTATTATGAACGATGATTACTTATTGATATTGACTAATAAGTTTCATATAAATTGTCATAAATACACCAGTGAACATATATACGTGACAACAGCGTTCGATTATATTCGTGGATTCTGAGTTTTTCCGATGTGCAATATATGCGACCTGATACTGTACATTTGTGAATATTTAATACCTCATGCTTTGCAGTTATGACTTCTACCGACTAAAACCCCACGGTGGCCTTCTCGGTTGCTCTAGTGAGAGGGATCCGGGAGGAGCTACTTCCACCCCCTCCTTTACAGGATCTACCTCAACATCGACTTCTTTCAGGGGCTTGTTCAATATAGGATTTTACACCGCTCTGACTTTGTATGAAGTAATTGTCATATTTGTGTGACAGCGCACCAATGGCGGGCAACATGTCTCTGTCGGCCGCAACGTCGGCGCCCGCGCCGCCTGCGCCGCCTCCGGTGCCGCCGCACCAAAACCTGCCTGCGCCTAACGTTAGTACCATTTCCTTCTACGCACACATCATTAAATTGCTTTGCAAATTTCCTCACGATGTCTTCTTTCACCGAAAAGCTCATGGTAAATTTCAAATAAAATTTCGTACATAAATTCCGAAAAACACAGAGGTGCCAGCCCGCACCGGAACCGACGACTCTCTTGAGAGGCAATAGGCTATTATGACTGTTGAGAATGTAAAATAGTAACGTGAATATTTAAAGAAATAAACAATTCAATTAAAATCTTGTAACATAGAGAAACTCCTTTATTGAGCAAAATCAAAAATGCACAAAATTTTCTTTTTAATTTCGTAACAAAGAAGAAACCTGAAAATTAAGAAATTTTAGCGTAAACTGTTGACATTGAATAATAAAATTATGTAATCATATTAACAATTAATAAATAAACATAAAAAAAACATTTAATATCGCTCAACAAATGGTGAAGTATTGAAACTACTCCGCTAATATCTAACACACACTCACAGCCCCGTTACTAGGGACACTCTGTCCATGGCACCCGCGACACAGAGTTTCCTCACAAAATAAAATTTTGAGATATTATTTAAAACCATAACCCAGTGTTACAATATTGAAATTGTTTAATGATATTCAGTTGTGCATCGTTAGGGTAAGGTCCGATAAGTTGAACACGTTAACTAATTTTAACTGTGTTTAAATACTTTATTATACTATATATAGCTCGATTACCACTGACTGATCTAGATACTGACATAATTGTTCTCCCAGAAGGAGTGCCGGTGGGTAAAAATAATGTACTAGACTCGTAGACGGATCGGTCCCGTGAGTACCAGAAAAATCCGAAATCTTCGAAAAGTGGACTGCATCAGGTGAACGCCTACGCGCGCGGCTAAAGTATAACACCTACCGGAAAGGTGTTCTTACTAAAAATGGCCGCCACCCTGGTCAGTTTCTAGCGGAAGTGAAAAAAATTCGAAATTCGTAAAAACAAGATGGCCGCCATACAAATTGCAGAGCTTTATATCTCGAAAACTACAAGAGGTAGGTGGGGGGTGCTCGACCAAATGTCATAGAGGGCGGCGGGGGTCAACTGCCGGTGACAAATTTTTTTCAAGATGGCCGACTCAAAATGGCGGCCCGAAAAAAAGGTGGTCTAATCCGGCCGAAATTTGGCATGCGGACGCGTACGGGGGCTTAGGTTACAAATCTGGGGTTAGAATTTTGATTCCGCCATTTTCCAAGATGGCCGCCATACATGTGAAACTTTCGCCCTTTGGAGTCATTTCTCGCCCAGAAGAAGGGTGGATAGGTACAAGTGATGTAGGAGAGTAACGGTTATATCGGTCATATGAACGTCAAAAACTATTCAACTCCTCGAAATGTGCTCCGCATCAGGTACTACCCTAGCCGTCCGGCCAAAGTATACGTCTAGGCTCAAAGTGCCCAAACAAATGTTCATACACACCCTGGGCAATTTTTAAGGAAAGTGAAAAAAGTTCAAAATTCGAAAAACAAAATGGCCGCCATACAAATTTTGAAAGCCTCCATCTCGGAAACTATTGGAGATAGGTGACTCGTGTTCCAACTAATATTGTAGAGCACGCCAGAGTCCAACTGACTGTTGAAATATTTTTTTCAAGATGGCCGATTCAAGATGGCGGCCCGACAAAAAGGTGCTCCGATCCGGCTGAAATTTTAAACACTTCCATGTCTGGTAGTTCTTAAAAATAATATGTGGTCAAAATTTTGATTCCACCATTTTCCAATATGGCCGCCATACATTTTCTACCGTCTAATGTGTTTCGAGGCCTACATCTCGGCGAGTATTGAAGATAGGTGAAGCACGTTCAAACAAATATGATAGAAGATGGTAAGAGCCAATTGGTGGTAACAAAATATTTCAAAATGGCGGATTCAAAATGGCGGTTCGACAAAAAGGTGCTCAGATTTGGCTCAAATTCGACATCTGGCCATGTAAAGAACGTCCACAATACGAATTTGTGGTCAAAATTTTATTAACGCCAGTTTCCAAGATGGCCGCCATACATTTTTTATAGGACAATGTGTTTGGAGGCCCACATCTCGGCGAGTATTGGAGATAGGTGGAGTGCGCTCTAACAAATGTGATAGAAGGTGGTAAGAGCCAATTGCTGGTAATAAAAAAAAATTCAAAATGGCGAATTCAAAATGGCGGTTCGACAAAAATGTGCTCCGATCCGGCTCATATTCGATATCTGGGCATGTATAGAAGCCCACAATACAAATCTGTGTTCGAAATTTTAATTCAGCAATTTTCTTTATTTTCCTTATATTATATATAGCTCGATTATATATAGCTCGATTACCACTGACTGACTGACCCAGTGATTTAGATAGTTGTTCTCCCAGAAGTAGTCGCGGTGGGTAAAAATGATGTACGGGAGTCGTGGTCGGATGGCTCCAATGAGTACCAGTAAAATCCGAAACCTTTGAAAAATGGACCGCATCAGGTGGAACCCGGCAGCGCGGCCAAAGTATAACACTTACCGACAGGGTCGTCAAACTAAAAATGGCCGCCATCTTGGTCAGTTTCTACCAGAAGTGAAAAAAATTCAAAATTCGAGTAAACAAGATGGTCGCCATACAAATTTTAGAGCCTTGTAGCTCGGCGAGTATTCGAGATAGGCGGGAGGTCCTCTACCAAATTTATAGAGGGCGATGGGGGTCAACTGCTGGTGATAATTTTTTTTTAAGATGGCCGCCTCAAAATGGGGACCCAAAAAAAAAGTGCTCCGATCCGGCTGTCCGGGAGTCCACCGCCATTTTCCAAGATGGCCGCTATTCATGTGAAGTTTCTGCTCTTTGGTGTCATTTTTCTCCCGGAAGACGGGCGGGTGGGTTAAAATAATGTAGGGGAATTATAGACGGACGGGTTTGGTAAGTATCAGAAGATACCGTAATTTTCGGAAAGTGCTCCGCATCAGGTAGGACCCCAGCTGCCCGGCCAAAGTATGCATCTTGGCTCAAAGTCTCCAAACAAATGATTATTCACACCCTGGGCAGTTTCTACGGGGAGTGAAAAAAATTCAAAATTCGGAAAACAAAATGGCCGCCATTCAAATTTCGGCGGCCGGTATCTCGGAAACTGTTGGAGATAGGTAGATCGCGTTCAAACTAATATCGTAGAGAGCGATAAGATCTAGCTGGCTGTAGACTTGTTTGTCGAAATTATTTTTTCAAAATGGCCGATTCAAGATGGCGGCCCGACAAAAAAGTGCTCCGATCCGGCTGAAATTTTATAGCCTTCCATATTTGGGAGCCTGTAATACGAATTTGCGGTCAAATTCTAGATTCCGCCATTTTCCTATATGGCCGCCATACATTTTCCACAGTCCACTATGTTCCGAGGCCTACATCTCGGCGAGAGTTGGAGATAGATGAGAGGCGCTCAAGCAAATGTCGTACAGAATAGTACGAGCCAACTGCAGGTAAAAAAAATTTTCAAGATGGAGGACTCAAAATGGCCGCCAGAAGTAAAAGTGCTCCGATCCGACTGAAATTTAATATCCGACCGTGAATAGAGGTTCATAGTATGTATCTGCGAACGAAATTTGAATTCCGCCATTTTCCAAGATGGCCGCCATACAAGTGTATTTTCGGTTTGTTGACCAGCACATTTCTCCCAGAAGAAACGCGGGTATGTAAGAATGACGTATGCGAATAATGGTTGGGTGGACTTGGTGAGTATCAAAAAGTACCAAAACTTTCGAAAAGTGCTCAGCATCAGGTAGGACCCCAGTAGTACCACGTGCGAAGTATACGTTTTAGCCCTAAGGTCTCCAAACAAATGTTGCTCCACACCCTGGGCAGTTTCTACCGGGAGTAAAAAAAAAATCTAATTCGCAAAACAAAATGGCCGCCATACAAATTTCGGGGGACTATATCTCTGAAACTATTAGAGATAGGTAAATTATGTTTAAACTTAAGTCCGAAAAAGCGATAGGAGCTAATTGACTGTCAACTTAATTTTTTCAAAATGGCCGATTCAAGATGGCGCCCGAAAAAAATTTGCCGATGGTGCTGAAATTTGGCACTTGGCCGCATATGAGGCCCCATAATATGAAATTGTGTTTGTAGTTCTACATTTTCCAACATGGCTGCCATACATTTTCCACCGTCCAACGTCATTGTTCTCCTAGAACGAATCAAGGTGTGTTAAATAAATGTACAAGGATTGTGTTTGACTGAGAATATTGAATACCAGAAAAATCCAAACCCTTCAAGACGTGGTCTGCATCAGGTAGGACACCAGCTGTCCGGCCAAAGCGTCAGAGATGGATGTATGGCTTTCAAACAAAAATTATCAAGGAACCTGATCAGGTTCTACTGGAAATAAAAATTTTCCAAAATGGCGAATCCAAGATGGCCGCCATAAAAAAAATGTCTTTACTGAATCTTCACAATTATTGATGATGTATGAGTAGTTTCTTCTGAAGTATGTAAGGATACGACTTGACGAGATCATACCAACTACTTGACTCCCTCAGAACCAAATAAAGTTAACAAAAATATATTTCTGAAACAAACACTACAACCAGCAAACTGTCACAAGCCTAAGACACAGACCTCGCGGGCCGCTTTAGCGGCCCAGCGCAACGCGCAACATACTATACGTGTGTAGCTCGATTACTACTGACTGATGTAGACATTAGGTAATAGTTCGCCCAGAAGGAACAGCGATAGCTTAAAATGATTTACAGGAATAGTGGCCGGAAGGGTTCAGTGAGTACGAGAAAATCCGGATATCTTGGAATAGTGCTCCGCATCAGGTGGGACAGAGGCTGTTCGCTCAAGTATCGTAGATGGGCACATGGCTCTCAAATAAAAGTTGTCAAGAATTTTAGTCAGGTTCTACCAGAATCGAAAGTGTTCTGATATGACGAATTTAAGATGGCCGCCATACGAAATTGACTATTCTGAATCTTCGCAGTTGTCAATGATATACGACTGGTTTGTTCTGAGATATTTAAGGATACAACTTGACGCGATCGTACCAACTACCCCTACATGTAACTTAACTAGAGCAGTCGACAACCCTGCTTCCTCCCATCCAAACTCAACCAAAGAGGATTCTCTACTGAAATATGAAGTCTAATTCCCAACCTGTCACACGAGCCCCAAAGAAAGCCCTCGCGGGCCGCTTTAGCGGCCCGGCGCATCGCGCGGCATCTAGTCATCATATATGTGTGCAGAAACTACCACAAATTATAGCTAAACTCACGAGAGAAATCAATGTAGGCTATACAAATATTTCTCCCGGCTCGGGAATCGAACCCAGGACCTGTGCGTGCCAGGCCAGCATAGTAACCGATTGACTTCGGAGGCAGTTAATATTTAATCCTTTGACTACGTCCTTAGGCACAATTTACATTGCCGGGAACGCAATACAAGCGAATTTTTGTAACGAAATTGTACATAGCATAATGAAATTATATTAAGTAGCAGTAGAGCTCCATTGTGAAAGAGTTCGCCCAGGGAAGTACTGCTACCTTACCTATTTCTACCGCCAAGCAGTAATGTGAGCAATTATTGTGTTCTGGTTTTGAATAGAAAGGGTGCTGGTGAAATTACTGGCACATGGGACTTGTCAACTTATGTCTCAGGGTTACGGGCGCAGTGGCAGTGCCCCTCAGATCTTTGCGATTTGTAGCTCTGAATGGCACTGCAACTAGACAGGCGTGTAGCTTACCATCAGGCGCACGTATTGTTCGTCCCGTCACTTGATATTGTAAATAAAAAAAATCTATGGTTTGGAAAATTCGCGTCTTCATTCCGTTCAACGCAATGTAAATGGAGCTTGTTTTTAAGGATTTGTTCGCAATGGTGGCCGCGACTCCCTCGCTACCTCGCCGCCTGCTATCGTCGTTGACAAAACTCGGTTTAATTTTAGAATCTCCTGGTTTTCCTTGTTCATTTTTGTTTTTAATAAATTTATATGCATCGCAAATAATTATTATTGACGTTCGCATTGTATTACTGCATTGTATTATATTTTTATCATAAATTTAATAAATATGCGCCGTACTATGTCGTTTTCGGCTGGTTTAAGAATTAAAACGGTAAGAAGTGAAGTGGTTTTATTTTGAGATATTTATTAACGTGAAATTATTTATTTATTTTAACTTGAATTTTTTAATTTATATTAAATGTTTTGTATTATTGGTTTTTGTGTTATAACAAACGCACACATTCATAGCAATTTTTGGTGGAAATAGACCGGTGAGATTTCAATTCTCGTCTTTCCTCGTCTCGTCTAGCCTCGCCGGTGGAAAACCACCTTTATTGTTTCGCAGTTGTCAAATTCCCAATTAATATTAAAATATTTATTTTTAGGGTCCAATGGCGCCGCCGACGCCGCCCGCCGCTCCGCAACCTCCACCCATGGTACGTTTTCATTATTTAACTCTGTTTGTGACCAAATTATTATTATTATACACTGTGTGACTTTTTAACCGACTTCAATAACAAAAGGAGGTTCTCAATGTATCGATTTAGATGATTCTTTTTTTTTGTTGGAAATAGGGTGCCGGAATAGTGGTCCCTTTTAAATTTGAAGAAAATATTCCACTTCTAAGGGTGGCAAACTAGGGGATGAATGACTTTTGAGGTCGGTTTTTTTATTACTCTGTACTGAGTTTATGTGGTGTCGGATACTAGAAACGGCGTTAACGACCACGCTCAAGGACGCTTCCGGAATTCGCTTTGTTATCTTCATTTTACTACTCAACATTGTATACAAAATACGAAAATGTTTGTTCTTTTAACAAAAGATACAGACACAGACAAACAGAAACAGATTAATGGCAAGGGTACTTTTTTATTCTTCAGGAGACCCCGCTTCTCCCAAATAGAATTTACAAAAATGTTAAAGTTAATATTAATAATAATAACGTACATACTCAGCCCCGCACTAGGGATTCCCTGTATCGCGGGTGCTATAGACACACATATAGCCAACCACATATTTAACCCAAACTCACTAGAGAAATAAATATAGGCCATACAAATATTTCTCCCGGCTCGGGAATCGAACCTGATATATTTGCGTGGCAGACCAACATGGTGTCCGTTTGGCCACAGAGGCAATTATTTTTACAAAACTAAAAGTTAATTTAAATTTTTATTGAATTATATTCAATTATTTTTTTGTGAAATTACTACACTAGTTTGTTATAATTATTAACACAAAGAACGAACAAAATATAGAAAGATAGAATAGCCGGGTCTGGTAGATAGATAGGTAAAGGTATCTAACTGAGTGACGAAATACTTTCATAGATATCTCATAGATGGCGCTACGGCTAAAAAGTCGTTGAAAAACCAAAGACAAAGATACGACAACACGCACTTAGAAAAATTCGTGAGGTCCGCTGGTTCGTTCCGTGGCTTAGTTGGCATAGCGTCTGGCACGGTTTTCTACAATACGTCGGTTCGAATCCGGCCGGATCGTTGGAATATTTTCTAATTGTTCGATTTTTGTATTAATAATTATAACAATTGTTCAAAAAAGGGAAAAAGATAATTACACAGAGAAAATGCATGAATATTGTGCGTGCACGTGGATGAGTAATAATGTTTAAGTTTATGACAAACGGTTTCCTAAAAAGTGAGTTGGTTATGTTTAATGTAAACGATGCGAATTGCAGGCACCACAGGCCCCCGCGCCCCCCGCTGCCCCGGCCGTGAACGGCGGCCCGCCGCCCCCGCCCCCTCCCCCCGGGGCGGCCGCGGGCCCGCAGGGAGTGGCGTCCCCCCCGCCTCCGCCGCCGCCGCCCGCGCCGGCGCCGCCCGATCTGTCCGGCCTGGCCGCGCAGCTGCAGCAGGCGCGGCTCAAGCGACAAGCTAAGGTACCCATCGACACTGGTGTCGCAAATGTTATGCCTATTTGTTGTATTTATACATAAGTGGAAATTGGGTAAGAGACGAAACGCCATTGAAAACACGCAATACGATATCTACTTTATTGTCGAACGACGTTTATCTAAAAATACTTTGCTAACACATACATATCAGGTTATGTAGACCCGTAAATACATACCTTATAGAGTTACATACATGACAAA